GGTGGGGACAAGCAGTGCCAATTGAATGTTTAGAAACATTAGCAGTTAACCTTATTCATACTTGATATTGCTAAACCACACGAAGCTGATTTGAATAGCAATCATAGAAGTTGTTAGAAGCTCTTTGCTCTTATGTGAACAAGTATTTTTTTTGTTTTGTACCCAATGCCTTGTTAGACTTGAAGTTACACTTGTACACTATAGCAACAGCTTGAGCTGTTTCACATCCTGGCACACATTTTATTCTCCTGTTAGTCTTGCTACCAAGCCAAGATGAATCTTAGTAGCATGTGTTTATGTAGCTGTTTGACATTATATTCAAAGAAAATTGCTTGTTAGTGCTTTCTTGGTCATTTTTTTTTCCATGAAGGGCAATCGTTTTTCATATTTTGAATGTTAGCTTCAGGGTCTACCAAATTTTTATTTTTAATTGTCAAATGTATATATTTGATATACACCAGACAAATATAATAGTTTGTGTCCTTAAGGTAAGTTTAGTATTAAATAATGCTTGAGTTGTAAAGTGCTTACTGTATTGCAGTATAAAGCTAAGAGAAATTTGTACAAGGCCATATATATGTGTCTGTAAGCATACATTGATGGGGTCTTCACACTCCAGTGAACCCAGATGATTACTTTGTATAATTTGAGTTACAGGATAAAGGTACACTCCACATAGCTATGTGAATCAGTCAGTGGATCAGATTTGTATTGATACTGTAGTAAAAAACATCTAACAAAATAGTTTCCTTACATTGATATTGTGTAAAATTAAAGCATAGCATTAGTCATAACATTTTCATTATAAAGCACTTTGTTTTTCTAATGACCTATTCTTTGCTTGTTACTTGTAAGAACAATAACTCTATTTAAGTAGCTTGTGTGTGTGTTTTATTCAAACTAATGTTGTTTTTTTTTACTTTTCATCCAATGCATGGATTAGTTAGTAAGTCAGGTCTTGGAGTAGTACTAAACCAACTCAGTGGGCTAGCCTAATACAACTGGCTGGTTTTAGACATTAGTATTTTGTTGTTTTTTCTGACAATCTGTGAATATCACTGGGTCTGTGTCTATCTAATTGGTCATTAAGTATTTTAATGAATGACAGTACATCAAGATTGCCTGTTGCTCATAATTAATTGAATCATGTTTGCACATATCCACAACTTGAGGTAAACCATGTAGATAGAATTATACGGGCAATAGCACTCAGAAACTCATGCATCTTTATAGTATCAAGTTAATTTTTTTTTTTTTTATTTTATTGATGAATTATGAGTGAAGATGTTTCCATACATATCAGATTGTCTCATGGAATAGATTAACTGTGTTTCTTTCAGCCCAGTGGTCCTGGGGTATGGGCTTTGTGTCTATTCACATATTTGTATGAAATGTTGCTAGCTACATTTTGGTCGATTGTAAATAATATTATTGAATTATACACACACACACAAGATGGGAACTGAACACATTTGTCTACTGTATAAACTCTGGTTTATCTGGCACAGTTTGAGCAAGTTTCATCTTAGAATTCTTCCATTGGACTTAATAGGGGCTTCAGTTACATTTTTGCTGTTACCTGAATTGTTTAATATTCTCTTTTTATAAAAGTCCTTTGGAAGGATGAAAAAAATGTCCAACCATTTGGTAGCTTGGGGCACCCCACAGACTCCAGGTACAGGTTGTTTGTTTAGCCTACTTTCAAACAAAGACAATTTTGTTTTGAAAAAGTTGTCACATATATTAGAATTTATTTTCTTCTAAATTTATTAATGATTAGATTTGCAAAATCATAATAGTTATTGGTGGGTTGGTAGATCTACTATCAACTTCTTTCATTTATTATAGTCTTGCATATATGTAGAGTTTTGTTGGTACATTGACATTAAATTGGAGCATGTCAAAGCTAATTCCCTTGAGTTCAATTCCAAAAGTATTCTACAAAGACATTCACACTGTCACCGAATGAAATTCAAGACGCAAATACTATGTCTTTGTCCAACATTTCTAAGAGCTGATCTTATTCCCAACACCGTAGAGGAGATTCTTCTGCTTTCAAGCTAGTGTCCAGCTTCCAGAGATGCAGTCCAGTTTCTTCTTTCTTTTGAATCTGCTCACAAGGGATATAAATAAACTTCAGATTTTCAAACATTCTATTTGCTATCCTGTAGTACAGGCAAGCTACTGAGACTTGAAGCTGAAGTCTTTTTGTTCTTTCTTAAGTGAATGCCCTAAATGTGTCTATGGACCAACTAAAACACCAGTGTAGACACCTGTGAACAATCTAACATATTTATATATTTATATTTGAGCATCATTATTGAATGAAAATGAGCTACTGTATACACTATTTGTATGAAAAAGAAAAGTAACTTCTATGTCAATCTAAAGAGCATATTCATTCTATTCACATTAGTGTCAAGTAGAGTATCATGTGATCATGAGTTTTTCTTAAGTGTGAGGATTAGAAGAAACTCATTAATAAAAAAAAAACTTCACTTGACTGATTGTGTGTCAGCAGTCATAGCCCCCCTCCCCCAGAGAAATGGCTTAAAGAAACACTAACATTATTACCACATTCTTAATAGACAAGTTTCAAATATTGTACATGAACCAGGGTGAAGTCTCACATCTCACAAAACTGACTTGTTGTCATGGTGACTAGTTTTGGGCTCCCTTCTTTTTTTTTTTTCTTTTTTTTGTTTTGCTTTAAGAAATTATCTCTCTTTATTGTAGATATATATTAGTTGTTTTGTTTTTTTAATATACTATATTTGTACTGAATGTAACCAATAGATGGTACTCTCTAGATGTACACAAGTTCAAATCTCCACAGACCAATCTTTCTGGTTTAGTAAGATAGTTCATCTGTTCAGTTTTCAAGTTCTTGCATTTTTTAAAAGTAGCCTGTGGAAACAACAACAACAAAAACTCTTCACCTGGTCACTGGAAGGGGAAAAGTGTTTGTTTCTCTCTTCAATTAGAAAAATGAAGTTCAAAATAATTTATTTCTGTAATCGTAAAAATAAAACTTACATTTTTAGAGTACCTGTAGTTGTTTAACTAATGAATGAAGACAACTGCAGGTGATTGTATCTTTTTGATTTGTTGGAGAGATCTTGAGAACTAATACTTTGTACTCAATGAAAACACTTTTAGAAACAGAGCAAGAAACTCTCTATGTGTGTGTGTGTGTTGATTTTTTTAAAAAACATTTTTCCTCTGTTTCAAGAGGCTGTTATTGTTTCAATTGACCTTGACATTTTTTATGCAACAACTTAAAACATAATTGTATCTGAACTTGTATGTGTGCATATTATTCTGTGAGTTGACTTTGTGTGAGGCTAGAAGCAGACAGTAAGACAGAACTAACCATTTATAGTCTATTCCTTGAAGCCCAGGTGTGAACACTGCAGAGAAAGCGTTGTACCTTTGTCTGTTGTTGTTGTGACTGGAAGATCAAACATTGGAAAAGACGTAGATATAAGACTTTGCTTAAAGAGACAATGAAATGGAAATAGGAGCAGATAAGAAGAAAGAGTAATGGAACACTGTTGTTGTTTGGTTTGTTTCGCACCTGACTCCAACCTTTAAATTTTAGCCATACCCGTAGGGAACAAAAGTGAACTTTTTAAACCCAAGATTTAAGTAGTATACCCTATTAACATGTTGAAGGACTTCAATTCACATTGAACATTTTAAACCCAAGATTTGAGTTGAAAACTTTATTAACATGTAAGGAGTTCAATTGTCATTGTTAGTTTCGAATTTAAATTGTATTGGTTTATGAAAACAATCTTCACTGAGTAAGTTGATGTATATTGTCACTTGAAAACATTCATTGTTGAACACTGTGTAGAGTTGGATTCAGTCAGAAATAGAATCTCATTTATAACACTCTTACTGTAGATGTTTGGGTATTTGTGGCCTTGCTATGTGCTTTTGTCATCATGATGGTTAGGACTTCTCTGCTTACTTTGATCGCTCTGCAGGACATTTGGACTAGGGCATAATGAACTTCATTGCTGAAGGAATTTCTAGCAAGTATACATTAAGTCAAGAGGTACTTGCAATTAGATAGTCAAATCTAATACATCTACCTGTAGCTGTGTCCAGTTTGTCAATTCTGATTGTAAGTAAATCTTGAAGACAAAGTGAGTGAGGTGCTCATGCCGTTCAGACCTTGTCTGCACGAAACTTGCTTTATATGGAGTTAGGACATAAGCAATCTTGCAGGGAGTTAGGACATCTCAAGCAGTCTTGTAGGGAGTTAAAACATCTCAAGCAGTCTTGTAGGGAGTTAAAACATCTCAAGCAGTCTTGTAGGGAGTTAAAACATCTCAAGCAGTCTTGTAGGGAGTTAAAACATCTCAAGCAGTCTTGTAGGGAGTTAAAACATCTCAAGCAGTCTTGTAGGGAGTTAAAACATCTCAAGCAGTCTTGTAGGGAGTTAAAACATCTCAAGCAGTCTTGTAGGGAGTTAAAACATCTCAAGCAGTCTTGTAGGGAGTTAAAACATCTCAAGCAGTCTTGTAGGGAGTTAAAACATCTCAAGCAGTCTTGTAGGGAGTTAAAACATCTCAAGCAGTCTTGTAGGGAGTTAAAACATCTCAAGCAGTCTTGTAGGGAGTTAAAACATCTCAAGCAGTCTTGTAGGGAGTTAAAACATCTCAAGCAGTCTTGTAGGGAGTTAAAACATCTCAAGCAGTCTTGTAGGGAGTTAAAACATCTCAAGCAGTCTTGTAGGGAGTTAAAACATCTCAAGCAGTCTTGTAGGGAGTTAAAACATCTCAAGCAGTCTTGTAGGGAGTTAAAACATCTCAAGCAGTCTTGTAGGGAGTTAAAACATCTCAAGCAGTCTTGTAGGGAACTTTCAATTTTTTAAACTTGTGAATAATTTCAACAAAAAAGCAAACCAATAAAAATGTCAGTATTTGATGTACACACATACACACACATACATACATACACATAAACACACATACACATAAACACACATACATACATACACATACACACACACACTAGGGCAGGGGGATAGTGAGACTTTGATCTGTAACAAAAGGTTATAAAATGTAGCAACCAACTAATTTCAAGTAGGAGATAGTGCAACAATGTCTAGTGTTTACAAGTTTTCTCTGTTTTTATGCACAGAACACAAGATTGGTTCTTTTCCTATCCACTGAGCTCCTCGTGCAAATGTCCTCTTAAGCTCAGCAATAAAAAGCATAATTATGTGGATGTATTTGTGTGTGTGTGTGTGTGTGTGTAAATACTTGTTAGACTTTGTAGTTTTATTAACATAACACAACCTCAACTAATAGAAACATTGGGGTTTAGATTTGACTGTGATACTGTGGGATGGTTGAAGTGTCCACTCAATCTGCCTCTGACTTTGGACATTGATATCTGGCTGTATTTAGACCTTTTTTGTCAGTACTAGCAAGACATTGGAACATTTTTTCAGTTAAAAGTTGGCATCACTAAATTGTCTTTCTAGACTGGGCACCATCTGTTTTTATGCTTGACATGAGCAATGAAGTATCTCTCTCTTTCAACTTGTTCAATGTTTGATAGTCAATTAGTCTAATACTTTTGATAGACTCTTAGCTTAGCCTAACTGCCCTCATCACTCACAAGCAACTCTCTAGATTACACAAGAACTACTTGAGTTTGCTGGGTTTTTTTTTCTTGAATTCTAATTATCTACTCACTATGTATGTAGATTATTTTGTATGCCAAGACCTCTGGCAGGTTCTGTCAGTTGACTGCAATCTTTTTTTTTTTTTTTTGTTACTAATTAATAAAAAAAAAAAATAATGCCTAAATTGTTTTTGTTCTTCATTATTCATAGGTCTGTTTCTTGAATCCATTTAAGCCAAAGAAGAATGAGAATGCTACATAAGTTTTTAGCAAATTCTATTAATGCCATTCCTTTGCTTCTGATGTGACACAGCTACTGGTACAGATGTGTCTGTAGAGTCATGTGACACAGCTACTGCTACAGCTGGGTCTGTAGAGCCACTTGATATGCAGCACATTAATCTTTGCACTTGGAGACATTGGCTTTTTATTATTCTAGATTTCTTAACTGAATTAAAATCCACCGCAAGCCTCATTCAGATGTAGTTAACATACAAGGTATGTAGGCTGATAGGAGTAGGTGCTAGTTGAGCAATTGAATAAAACATCATCAGCTCACTTAAAATTTACTTCATCCTTGCCTGTCTGGGTTATTTGAGACCAAAAAAAATGACTAGTCAAATTTAAAAACAGCCAGTAAAAATCTTAACTTTCAACAGATTATTGTTCTGCCTGATGGTGCGGAGTGTCGTTCAGTTGTCTTGATGGCCCAGATTCATACCCTGCCCGCTGCAATCCCCGTCATCCTGCGGGAGGTTTGGACTAGGAAGTAAATTATTTTCAACCCTGAACGAACATCCGAAATATGTAAAAAAAAATTTATTGCATTGTCTCATGAAGATTAGACAAATTAAAATGGCTGGTCATGCGGTATGCGCTCTGGGCTGTCTTTCTGTAATCCCTGGTTTGAATCCTGCCATTCCCTATCGTGCTGTCCTGTGGGAGCTTTGGGCTATGATGTAATTATCTTCAAAATCTGAAGGAACATGTAAAGCTTTTTACAAACTTTTTTGAAACATGTCTGAGACATTACACAGTTTTTAAATGCTAAAAATTTAAGAACTGTTTTATAACTAGACTTGATTGATGTTTTAATTCTATTATACGTTGAGTACAAACTTGTGAGGGCACAGAACACAGACCATATTTAAAGTGCAGATAATGACTTGGGAAGAAACCTATGTGCTGACAAAGCATTTCTTTTTAGAACTTGAAATAAGGAAACTAACTCAATATCTCCAGTAAACAATGGTGCTTGACTTAAAATACAATTTTATGTAAAAAAAAAAAAGTTGTATGAATTTATGGATTGCATTAACAATTCAAGGCTATTTTAAAAACAAAAAAAAAATACTTTAAACAAACCAACAAAGCTTATACGAAGTGTAATTGTAGGAATTAGTTTGGATCAGTCGTTATTAAATTTGTAATAAACCTAGACCAACAACAATAAATCTGTGCGATTAGAAATATATTTTACCAACTGTTTTTGTTAAGCACTATTTCATACTTTTAGCTTTCTCAATACCCCATGATCCTATCACTTATCTGGACCAGTTGGGGAAATGGGAAGGGGGGGGGGGGGGGGAAACAAAGAATGGGAACTCTGGGTGAATTTTACCATAATTGGTTCTTTAAAGCATTTACAAAAAGGAACGACCTGAATTCGAACTCATAGCTCATGCCTCCTCAAGCCGACATACTAACCACTCTGCTAGTGAGGTGCTTATTACTATAGAAGATTGTATAGTTATCTATTGTATGTTTCAAAATTACTTTAACTGCGACCTTTAAAGAGGAAATTGTAAATTGATAATGGATCATATCCAATTATATAGTTTTAAAAAATCTGAATTTGTTTAAAAAAATTAAAGTTGTATTATGGCTGAAGCTTAGTCAATATATCTAGTGAATGAGACTTACTAGACATTAGCTGATAAACTTTTTTCTAAATTAAACATAATCTGTAATTGTTAAAAAGCTAATTTTTATATAGAATTTAATTTGAACATGACTTCGATATGTCAGCTGCCTTTTACTTTTTGAACCCATGAAGACTTTGCAAGTTAAAAACTAATTCTTTTTTAAAAAATTTTTATTGAGTGGAATTGAATCCATTATTTTGAATCAATCAATTTTAATAGATCTAGACTAAAAAATACTAAACAAAAATGTGCGCAATATATAATTTTTTGTTCATGCCCAGGGCGCTGTGGTTCAATCAGTTGGGTGGAAGGAAGAGGGACATCTGACAGGTTTCCATGCTGCCTTTTTCAAAAGCAATTTTTTTTAAAAAGTTGTTTGATTCTGAATTCAAACTCGAGCATCCATGATAGAAGTTTGTTGTTTAAGCCACTGAGCTATTCAAGAGTTATAAACGTAGGTTTTATAAACTATTGTTAATTTAAACTTTTTAGCAAATGACCTAATTATCAACACAAGGCCTATCTCCCTTAAGCTTCGGACATCTTCAATATAAAATAAAATTAATTAAGAATAACTGATTAACTAATAGGTTTAATTTGGATGGATTCACTGACTAATTGATTCAAAGTTTCATTTTGATCACAGAAAGGGAAGTGGGAGAAATAATGAATTAGGAGATAATCATCTTTTTTTAAAATCACATCTGCATTTTAATAGATAAAGATGTGTACAAGACTCCAACCGTACAGACAGATGAAGTCAGTTAATATAAGCTTTAAAAAAAAAAAAAAAAAAAAAAGATTTCTGTAAATATTTTTAATTCTATTTCAATTAGTTGAACAGTTTTCTAAAAGATACAAATATTGTAATCATTGAGTTTTGTCTTGAAATTCAAATCAATATATACAACAACCAAATCCAATAGGCAGGTTTTAGTGACAAAAACATTTCAAAGAAACTTTGGTTATCAAAATAAAATACAAAATTAAAAAAACAATGTGGCTACTTTCTTAAGCCACTATTTGATCAATCAATGCTTCAGAAATGGTTTCTCTGAAGGCCAATGTGGCAGGAATGTGGTCTGGCTGTGTCAAGAGCGACAAGAGTCAGATGAACCATGTAGCAAAGTAAAATTGACAGCAGTATGTTGCTTAGTATACAAGTTACCAAACTTCAAGAAATTAATGATGCATTAGCACCAGAGATAAAAGTTTAACAGATACAAAATAACAAAATATTGATTTTTAAATAATGACAGTAAAAATGAAAAAAAAATGTATTTATCTTTTCTTGAATCATTTTCTCCAATGAAATTAGCTCTCAAAATGATTATCAAACAATGAAATCAACTGACCACAAAAGTTGATTCCGGTATTAACCAATGAAATCATCTGGCTGTGGTCCAAATGAAAAAAATAAAACACCTAATGATGCTAGTATGGAATTGAGCTCAACCTGAACACATACAACTTAGTGTGAACACTTTGCTAGTGGGCATGGACGGAGAAACTAGAGACAACAACAGGAGAAAACAGTATTTCAGAACAAATAAACTTGTGACAATGACCCACAGAAAAATACTGATAATGGCTTTTTAAATATTTTATGGAAACCATTTTAATTACTATTTGTTAAAAATCAGGTTACAATATAAAATTGCTATTTACAATAGAATCGTAAATGCTAGAGCTACCGACAATTTTTAGAAGTGAAAAGTTCCCAACTGAATATATGCAAAGATTTACATTAAAAATAAATGGATTCAAGTTAAGGCATTTGCCATTCTATAATTTAATCATTACCAATAATGAAAACAATTCATTTTATATTAATTTGCTTACAGCTGACAAAAAGAGGAGTACTGATCCATGGGCCATCATCAAACTGTATATAACTCTAATGACATTTTGTAAGGATTCAACGTTTTAAAAATTCTATGGAATGAAACTATAAAGTACAACTTCTTTCAAATACACCCAAACATTTTTTGTTGGTTGTAAATAATGAAGTTGCTGAAGTTATGCCCAACTGATTCATAAACTAGATCAAATTTGTTAGAGAAACATAAACAAGACACTGACATTAAGTCCAAACAAAATTGCAATAAGGAAAAATAAAACAATGAGAAGCAAGGGAGAAACACAGAGCTCATGGAATCTAGAACATAGGGAACACAGAGCTCATGGAATCTAGAACATAGGGAACACAGAGCTCATGGAATCTAGAACATAGGGAACACAGAGCTCATAGAAACTAGAACATAGGGGACATAGAGCTCATGGACTCTATAACATAGGGAACAGCTGTTCTACAATTAAATAATTGGAGATACTCATTAATTTCTACATTCATTATTGTATTAAATTTCCTAAACTTTTTAAATCTTTTTAAAATAACAAACTAATCTTGATCAATTTAAAGAAAATAATCTCCCTATTTGAAATGTCATGAAAGATAAAACATGTGCATTTTTAGGATGACAAACAACTTGAAAGAACTTATCATTGGAAACATTTCAGGCATTAAGTCAAACAAAACAATCATAAAGATATGAACAATATAAAGTTAATTAAAATATAATATACAGGCAAGTGCTGTAGTCCAAAAAAATATTTGTGTGTGTGGTTTGTCTGAACTTGGCCAGTGGGAGATTTGGCAGGAGGTGGGTCCCAGTCATTGAGTCCACACAAACATTGGATAATGAAATCTTGTATAACATGGGAACATCAAAACGACATAATGCAGACATGTTGGATGAACAATTGACAACATATATGAATACAAACATTTGTGTTAGTGTGACGTTTTAAGTGAATACTACACAAAACAATCAAATGGCAGGAGTTGCAGTCGTGTTGCTTGAACCAAGAAGATATAAACTCAAATCTTAATGAACACAGACTAACTGGTCTTTTACTAAGACGGACAAAATTCTAGAGCATAATCAGTTTGAACAAACTCATTCCAGACTACATCAACACTATGTTGGCAGATAAATACTTCACTTTAAAAAAAATGATTCGTTACCACTTTGAACAAATTGTAAAATGTTTAAATATTGTGTTTAAAAAAAAACAGCTTGACAATGATCACAACATTTTGACAACAGCTCTCACCCCTGCTTGCTACTGGGACTTAAGGCAAGGTTTGCATAGATGTTTGTAATTTGCATGGCTGGGAAGTAAAAATAGATTTTCTTTGCTTTCAAGTACTGTACATGTAAGCTACACAGAATACAAAAATAAAACATGTGATTCTTTGATGATACTTTATGTTAGTAATATCTTGCACAAAGTGTGCAATTTAAAATAGAACACTTACAAAGATGAACAGATTTATATAACACTTGAAGGAAACATCTCAGCGATGTCCTCAATATTTGAACGTGAACCAAGCCAGAGAGTCAACCTAACCACGTCTGCTGTTACATGGAAATAAATATTTGTTCTGTTCTAATAGTCGTTGTAAGAAATGGATACTGAAATCTGGGTGTTAACAGAAACGCTGGAACTGTAGAACAAAATAATTGCAATATCTAGTGAACACTTGGTCAGAACATCAGCAAAGACTGAACATCACCAGCTGGCACACAATACATTTCTGGAGAGAGAGAGAGAGAGAGAGGGCGGGGAGGGGGAGACATCCATATAAAAGGTAATAGAAATGTAAAATAGTCAAAATCTATTATAGCCATCACCCAAGTTATTGATTATATCAGGGTCTCTAAATCCCAGAAGAGATGAACAACACTTTTATATATCAAATCAAAACTGTATCATGACATTCAAAGTATAGTGGTTACAGGTCACTCAACTGTGTTAAATGCATGCAAGAGTCGATATCAAAAACAAGATTAAAAAAACTATGCAGTAAGTTAAATGTTATACAAAGCAATCACAACATACCATCACAAAATATTTAGGCTTCTTTCTACAAAACGGATAATTATAACAATAATTTACAATCTTTGTGTGCCCTTCCGACCAAAGACAAAAAAAATTGTGCTTGTGCTTCCAACTGATATTGTAGATTAGAGACTTGAGAATCTAAAAATTTTCAGTTAAGTTCATATACAAAACTACACCATCAGAAGAAAGCATTACTTTTCATCACATAAGACATTTTGATATATATATGTAACAAACTTTTGAATCAACAAAATAATAAATACAAAATCTAATACACCACATCTAGAGAAATATAACCAAAAAAAATTCACATTTTAAAATAAAATTTCTGGCAGTTATTAAAAAAACAAAATATTTAGTCAATTCTTGTTACATAAAAACGACTCATGATGTTTTAAGTCCAATGTGCATGCTGCATCAAGTTCTACATAAAAGATATGACTGTTAAAATAGTCAATGTATGTTTCATCTTTTATGTACAAATCAATACAAATCTTCTTCAAAATAAAAACAACAGTGCTAATGAGTTTGAGATACAAAGAAGAGATTCAAATTCTAGAGGTCAAAGATCTATATAGCCCAGCAATCTAACAATCTCCTCATGCTAAATGCAAACACATTCTCTCAACACTGAAACACTGGTCTAGTGAAGCTTAATGGTTCTTTGCACCAATTTATCTTACAGGAACTGTATTTATCTTATAGGAACTGTATATATCTTATAGGAACTGTATTATCTTAAAGGAACTATTATCTTATAGGAACTGTATTTATCTTATAGGGACTGCATTTATCTCATAGGAACTGTATTTATCTCATAGGAACGGTATTTATCTTATAGGAACTGTATTATCTTTTAGAAACTGTATTTATCTTATAGGGACTGTATTATCTTATAGGAATTGTAATTATCATAAAGGAACTGTATTTATCTTGATCTAGAAGTAAACTTTAATATCAAATTGTAGAAATTAAAGTTCATTTATCTTTTTAGTATTTTCACCTACTTAGAAATTTTTTAAAAAGTTATTGGATTCATTGGGTTGTCAAAGAATTAGCCTTATTTTGTATTCTATGGATAGCTCTGAGAATAAACTAATGAGAACACACATTCAACTTAACATAGCCAATATGTGGTATAATACCAATCAATTTGAACACAGCATTATAAAGTACAAAAAAAATAAAATCTACAACAGGTTGTGAGTTCTTGTTGCGTGTGGAATCGCTCATTCATCATTCCTGGGAAACTTGTTCCTGCTCCTAGAGATGGTGTGCTTAAATGTATAGCGTGTCACTTCGTAGTATCCTGGGGTGTACACACTGTGTTGGCTCAACTGAGACTGGGAGGATGTGGCGGAACTCTGCAGGATATAAAAACAGACCAGTTCAGTTTAATATCAAGTGTATTGAGAAGTAGTAACTTCCACAGAGAAATATTTATAAAAAAAAAAAAAAACATAAAAGAAGTCATAGAAAATCATGAGAAAGTTTCATGTGTCTGTGAAAAGAAATGTATAAAGTTCAGAATATTTCACTCTAATCCCATTGCATACATTAGAACAAATGGATTTGTTTATCCTACAAGTTGATGTATTAGTCCATTGATTAACTGGCTAAGAAAAATGCAGGCTTTAACCAAATGTTTGTTTACCATAAAAACCTTACACAGATATATGCACAAAAAAAAGCCTTTAAGCATGGGGGTTGACAATTATCTGTTCTATCAAAATGTTTTTTATAAGGTGCAGTATTGTGTAATCTGTTTTACTTTGGTAATACATATTTTTGGTTGTTTTTTTTAACAAAAAGTTATTATAAGCCTACCTAGTCTTTCAATGAAGGTTTATTACAAAAAAAAAATTACCTGTGTGGGGAAAACCAAAGTAGTAGTAGACTCTGTGGATGATCGACTGTTTGATCTTCCACCAAAAGCTTGAGTCATGTCTTGGATCTGATTATACTGATGAAATTCTACCAAGGACTTCCAGATTTTATTTCTGTCCACTTCAGGTATACCCAGATGTTCCAAAGTCTGTCAGATAAAAGTGGGATCAATATTAAAATGGTTTTTATAAAGCTAAAGAAAAGTTTACAAGCTGTACTACTACCATTGAATATATTTGAACATTCTTTATTAATAACTGCTTAAGACCTTACATGACTGTTAAATAATGTATACAGTCCAAATGGAATTTCAGACAAAAGATATTAAAATTAAACTGAGTTCTTAATTTGTTTGTTAACTGTCATAGGCATCAAGCAGGTATAATTTTTTGACTTGTAATTTGTATTTTATTTTCTCATACTAAAAATGCAGTTGTGAAATATTGGTCTGACAGTCCTGATGTATTCACAAACAAAAGAAAAATTATAAATTAAAATGATTTGCTAGTTGTTCTTACTACATTCATATGCTTACTATCATAAATTGTAATTTGTTTTGTTTTCTTTTTAAAATGCAGTTGTGAAATATTGATTTTCAGCCTGTTAGAGCTACTTTCATTAAGTTAAATCAAACAATGTTAAACATAATAAAAACATATCATCTGAAAAATCGGACGTAGCATAGAGGCCAAAGCTGCTTAGCTACCTAACAAGGTGACTTGAGTTTGAATCCTGACTCCTGAATCCTGTAGAACAGTTTTTTTTTCTGAGTGTCTAAAGGCAGCATGGAAACCCTCTCCCAGATACCCCCTTACCCTTAAAAGCATCAAAGATGTACCATATGAAAACAATTTTTTTTAAATGTCTTCTCATTGGACTTGTCTGATTAAAAGTTTAATTTTAAGTTGCTTCAAGAACTACCCACCTCTTTCTTGCATTCATCCAGCTGGAACAAGTTGTCATAGCCATTCTGGTGGAATCTATCAATATAGTTGGACAAGCCCAACCTATCCAACCAGCTGAAATAAATAGACACAAGAATTACAGAATAATCTATCCAAGGACCAGTAAGAATTAGTTCCAACCTAATATACTAAAACATTTGTTTTGGCAGCTTTAGTCTGTTGTTTGGTCTACTGCTGAGCTAGAACAATAATACAACTTATTTTTAGCACCTTTTTAAACATTTTGGTAGATATCTGGTAAAAAACACAAAAGTGTCAGCACATTTCTAGGACAAATTCTCTATTTGTTTAGTGGGTTAGAACTTTTTTTTTTGAGATTTTTAAAGCAAGACATACACCATTTTTTGTTTTGTGATTCTTCAGTTACCCTCATGAGGAGTTGAACAAATGCTCATTATGTCATGTAAACTTGTCTGCCTTCAAATGAACTGCTCTATGTCCAAGCCAAGTATCACATGTCATAGCGACTATATAAATTGTCAAGGTGGGTTTTACAGGTTTAACCAACGGATGACTCAAATTAACCAGGTTCCCCACTTTGGCAGGCAAAAGCAACAATAAATGAACCCAATGCAAGCCAAACTAGCAATTTTAACATCAATAATGGCTCAACACACTGTTAACATGAGAGGCTAAGAATGTTTGAATTTGGTTCGACACCCGATTCAAGCAGAGTTGTGTTTACTGAGCGCCTAAAGGCAACACGGAAAACCTTCTCCCAGATACCCCCTCCCCTCACTGGTTCACAAATGAGATTGAGCCATAGCGCTCTGGGCATGCTATAAGCATAAAAGTTGCGCTATATTTTTTTAAAGCTCTAGTTATTTATTCAACTGATAGCATTTAGTAATTAATGAAATGAAATGAGAGGTCGATGTTTATTGATGTTTATGGCACAGTCAATAACAGCATACTGTTAGGCGCTTTCAGGCTGTCTTATGCAGATAAGTCAAACCAAATCAAATAACAAGTAATGGCCAACAATACAAGTCAATCAACGCTAATAGCAATTGTCGCACAAGAAGTTTAATAACAGAACGGTTGAATGTCGTCAAGCTACATTTCTACGAACATAAAAACTGCCTCTCTATAATGCCGTCTAAAGTAGCCCATTTACATTTCACTATTCTTCCTAAAATCCTAGCCTTGTTTTTTCTAGTCGCATCATAGTCTAAGTCAAAACTTTCCCACTCTATGAAACAAAATAATTAATTCTTAATCGTGCCATAACAATGGCCATACCTTTGCAGACTATTACAGCAAGCTCTGCACTTGCCACCATGTCTCTACTTACCCAGCCACTGAGTTGTCCCTAAGATCTCCCAGGGCCACATCTATATCTTCTTTCTTAACAGCCAGATCTGAATCATGTTGTGGACTGTGGGAGCTGGTGACAGTGTCAAAAAGGTCATTGAGGTCATCAGACACCTCATAGGACCCCAGACTAGGATGATGGGGTTCAATGCTCATTGTCGATGACGTTGAGGCCTCAGAATGATCTGAGCCATAATCAGAAACTCCATTTAGTCTGAAAAAGAAATAGACATTTTTTTTATCATACATGTTCTCCAGCATTTTTAACTGGCATTTTATATTGTTCACTTTCTACATAACATCAATTCCAAGAAAACAAAACATTTCACACAGACACACATATATATTATTTAGTATTCAATAGTTCAGACTGATCAATACAATTTAAATGAGGCAGTTGGGGGGGGGGGGGATATTTTAATTAATGCCATGTCAAACCACATTTTGGTTTTAGTCTTTTTTTTTTCCCAGCTTTTTGTGGGGAAAGAAGGAAAGTTAAAATAATTCAAAAAGAAGAAACCCAATTTTTTTTTTTTTTAACTTATTTAGTAAATATGCAGAAATAAAAAAACTGTCATGTATACTGTAATCCCTAGGTTTAAATGTAACTTGTATCCTCAAATTAAAACTTGGCTTGTCAACAGATAAATATCAAACAAAACATTTAGGAAAAATTTTTCAGAAATAAACTTTATTGCTTTCTAAAACAAGTGGACAGTAAGAAACAACATAGAGTTTTCAGAACTTCCAAAAGATTATCGTATAATAATTTGACATAAAAATATTCAGATCATAAAATGAAAAAAAAGGTATTACAATTATTACATTTAAGTAATATCCAATATTCAAATAAAACTATAAAATAATTATCACAGCTGAATCGAAAACAAAATGTTGCTATGGCTTGCGATGAACTAAAAGTTTTGAAATGAAAAATGTGTATAGGGTTGTGACATGAAACTCGATGAGAAAATGTTGAGACTAGATCAGATCACTACACATTAGACAGTTATGTACATGCTCTATCAACACAGTTCTGTCCAAACTAACAACACAGTTCTGTCCAAACTAACAACACATGTAGTGCTAAATCTATTCTTTAATCTAACCGTAAACACACACACTTCACTGACATCTGCACAAAAGAATTAGGCTAAGCAGAAATTCAATTGAAAATGAGTTACAAAACAAACAAAAAATTACTGAAAGAAGAAGAAAGAATTGGAATCTACAAGCTTCTGGTTTTTACTTCAGATATACCGTTGCTAAGTTGGAAACCTATTAGATATCGATGAGAAATTTGTTCTAAAGCTAATAAGACTTTGTTGTCGTCTTGTTCAATACATTATATACAATTCAAGAACAAATGATCAAGTCTGAAATGTGTCTGACCCTGATATTGTTATTTGAAAAGTTGACTGCACTATCTGTACTGTCAAAAATACTTTGGTGTGGAAGTTAAAATGATTAAAAAATATGACATTAACATTTTTTTTTTTAAATACAATTATTACTTGGATGTGATGTCCAATTTACATATGTATTGCCAGCCAATTAAAAGAATATTTTTAATAAATGTCTTAAATGTGAGATTTAAACAAACAAAGAAGGTTGTACATTTAAAAACAATATCTCAAAATCTCGTCTGCAGATGTTATTATCTACTACATACCATTAATCCTGTCTGTGGATGTTATCTATTACATACACTTAATCATATCTGCAAATTTATCTGCTACATACACTTAATCTTGTCTGCAGATGCCATCTACTACATACAATTAATCTTGTCTACAAAAGTATTCTACAACATACACTTTCCAATGATAAAATAAAAAAAAGACACACACAAACACAAATACAGAAAATAATTTGACCCAATAGTCCATGCAAAGGAAATTTACAACCTTTAGTTTGTATAGATGCAAACACACAGTAAATATGTTAGACTAACAGTTTGATGTTTTCTTTTTATGTATTTAACAATTATCCTAAATGGCTGGACATACATCCTAGCATATAACAGAAACCATCAGGGCATGAAGTTCTGAGTTCAGGTGAAACATCAAACTAGTTCAAGCAGATGTGAAAGATTAGATAGAAAATATTTCAATACACTTCCAGAACATTAAGTTCTGTTTTCAGCGTAACTTCTTACCCAAAACTCAAAGTTACCCAAAACTCGACTGTTTTGTGCTTGGAAATTGTTGTGACATTAGTTTACACTAACACTAAACTCTAGTCTCTTCACTAAGATGCTGCTTCAAGAACAATGTCATGTAAATAAAGTTTTGGTCACTTGTTGGCGCTTTCAAGTAACTCAAGAAACAACCTAGACTTATAGGTGAACACTGAACAAATGGGAAACATTATGCACCAAAAATAGCAGTTATAATAACAAGTCATCAACTGCTTGATGGACGGGATCTCAAAAAAATATTTGATCAATAAAAAAAGTGAAAGTAGTATAAATGCTGGATACTGCCTTTGGCCGAATACAATAACAGTTTTGTATCAATGTTTGCTAGTAAGGTAGCACTGTGAGGTTTTGGCAATAGGTCTACTGGAATGTTGGAGAGAGGCAAGAAACATGAATAGAACATTTCAATAGACAATATTTTATATAACACATAGATACATCACTTCTTCATGATCCAAAATGTCTAGAACACTAAACAATCATACATTACCAGAGCACAAATACACAATCATACATCCCTAGAAAACTTGTACACAATCATAGTCATTGCAGCAGTCATAGTCAATGAACATCAGTAGCCTGACATTTTGGTAAAATAAAAACTTTTAAATTGATTTACCAAATACTGTTTAGAAGCTAAAGGTGATTTGCAATGATACACAGACCAATGTGTTGAAGTAACTGGAGGACAAAAAAATGCTGTGGAGTCTTGTTCATGATCCCACAGTGTGTCCACACATTTGTCAACAACTGAATGAACAGACCAAATAGAAATGTTCCAGAATCAAACACTTTTCAAAAAGGCTGACCAAACACTTTTTAGAAAGGCTGACCAAACACTTTTCAGAAAGTTTGACCAAACTTACTAAAACACTTTGACCCAGTTCCTACATTCAATCTTCTCCAAACACACTTTAATCTATAATGCCCTGTTGAAGGTGATTGTCAAATGGCAATCAAATTTACACATTAAAATGTTTAGCATGTCAAGTTTACAAATAGTATTTTTAAAAGAAAAGGTTGAAAAAAGAAGAAAAAAATCATCAGTGTAATAGCTTCTAATTGACCAAATTTTGTTGGTATCAAATTAATCAATTGTTTTAAAAAAAAACAAAAAAATATCAGTAACATCCTAGACCATTGGCTTGAATTAACAATTAGACTGCAGACTTCAAGCTGACATTTCAATTTCTCAATTGGACCAAACAATTTGATACTATAAAGTCAATAAATGACCAACTTGCTTACCCAAAGTCTAGAAAATCTAGAAATTGAAAAACATTGACTAACTTTTGCTTTCAGTGTTACAACATGGATGGCTGGCTAGAAGCCAAAAAAATTGAATAGTAATAAATTGAGCAAAGTCTTAAAGACCTCTAAAAATCTGTGATTATTTTATTTCACATGGAGTGGTTAATAATATAAAACTTGTTTTAGCTGTAACACAAATTTCTTTGATAATTTTGAAATCTGTTAAACGACCTCTCCTGTAGTTCCAATCCATTATGTGAACTTATCTGATGATCTCATAGACACCTATATATATATTTACACTTTTATATACAAACATTTTTTTAGAAAGCATTTCACAAAAATAAAAGTCACATGCAGAACAACATTTTGATCTTGGCCTTGAGTTTTGATTGGTCTATTTTCAACGTTTTAATAAATCTCAAACTCCCCGTAGTCTTCAGACTCTTCAATCACATACTCCTTCTTGACAGACTTGCCAGGTTTAGCAACAAGCTTCTTCTTTTTAGTTCTAGGCTTGACTTTAGTTTCTTGACTGACTAGATTAGTCAACCACCTGCAATAAGCCAGAGAGTGTTAGAGTCATTTTTTTTTTAGCTTTTGGTTTTGATTTATTTCTGACTTTTGCTTAAAATGACTTCATTTGATGTAGTGATTGAATACTTTACGAATATGACTTCATTTGATGTAGTGATTGAATACTTTACAAAAAAAATTATAAAGAAACCAAACAAAAACAAATTGCTTTTGTCTTTGCAGTCATAGTGTGTTATTGAGTTAAACTTATTTTTTTTTTAATAAAAAAGTCTTTTCTTTGAAAAAATAAAAACTTTATAATTTTTTTAAAATTTGAGTTAAAAAGAAGGGGAAAGGAATGTTACTTCTAATCTCTGGCTTTTCATTTGCAGGTGGCAGACTTCCAAAAGATATACACACATACGACACAAGACAAAAACAAAATATTGCTCTAGTTGAAAGTTTCAGCCATACAAAAGAGAAGATAACTGAGATCTAGTAGTAGGTATCCACTTCAAGTATTAAACTAATGACAAAAATATTTTAATATAATGAAATAAAAAAAAAAAAAAACCCGCAAGAAACAACAAAAAATATACATCAACATCAGCTCCTTTAAATACATCCTTTAATATGACAAGCCCTGAGAAGTAGTTGACAGTACAGTACTACTGTGATTACATGAGAATATTGATAATTCTTGATGTTTAATAATTTGGTCCACACACATCCTTGTAATAATGAATAGCATTTAGTTACATAGGGCGTAGAAGCTGACCAAGACTGACCTCACAACCAATGATGATGATAATAATAATAATAGAAAACAGAAGGGAAAGCATCACGCTAGTTAAGTTAATCAATGTTCACAGTTATAGGGTTAAAAGTTAGGTTTAGTGTAAGAGAAGCTAGCTGTAGTGTTTGGTTAGAGATGCATCAATCAAATGTTCAACTTACTGTCTTTGATTTTCCAACTGTTTCTGTCTGTTGTAGGCTTCAACTGTGTGGGCAGGAACAAGAGAAGACAACTCCAGGGAGTCTCTCATTTTGCACAAGATCTCATAGTTTTCTCTGCCCCTGACCTAAAATAATGTAACACTCTCACTTATAATAATGAAACACTCTCACTTAAAATGTGCATAATAAAAGAAGAAACTACATTGATAATACTTACAAGACTTATTAGATCATGTGAACAAGATTTCACAGCTTAGAATCAAGTTTCAGACTAGTAATACAGTACAAGATAATGCAAAAATTAACTACTTGTTCAACTTACTGTTAGGTTGAAGACCTCTGAATCATCCCCATGTTTTCTTTTCTTGGCAATGCTCATGATTTCTGTGCTTAATGTTAACTTAGCACCTAACCCTGTATAGAGAATCAATTAGATAGTTACTAACAAGGGAAAAAAAATCACTATAAGTTTACCAGAACTGGTACTAGTTCCCCCCCGCCCCCCCCCCCCCCAATGTGTTAGTGGGGAGGCAAGGCAAATCAAATGAGGAAAAATTCAACATCATTCCATATGTCTATCACGGAGATCACATGTATCCCAATCACTGCAGAAGCTTCTTAAGCACTCCTCAAACACACACACACATTTGATTGTGATGAAAATGAAATAAGATTGACCCAGCAGAACAATTTGTGTTCCTACACTGTAACAATACCTCCACATTAGATTTGTTTATGAAAGAGAGCTCCCCCCCCCCCCCCTTTCACAAGCAGAATGACCACACAGCCCATACAAAAAAAAAGTCAGAATCACATAATGCTTACCTTTGACTGGCTTACTGTTACTCTGTGGAAGAGCTGCTTTCTCATCTGCTTTCCTATCACGCCCAGGGCAAGCACATATCCTGACCTCTACAGCTCGACGGCCCAGTACCTGGTTATCTTTCTCCAACGTGAACACAATCTGCAAGGGCCGTCTATTGGGGCCCCCTACGCATGAGCCTAGGCACATAAACTGGAACAAGTTGGTGACCCACTCAGCTCCAGCCTGTGGCGTCTCATGAGGTATGACCACACTCTGCCTGCTGGTGTTTGGGTCATCCATGTATTTGGCTGACTTGTGCTCGCACCTGACCAGATGGGAGGGGGCAGGGTGCTTTTCATTGTTCTCCTTGGAGACGGCATGGTTGGGGCACCTCTTCACCACTTCCTGGACA